GGTGGCCGGGAGTAGTCACTGCACTCCAGTCTGGGCAACAGAGTGAGACTCCAACTCAAAAAATATATATATAAATAAATAAATAAAAGGAAAAGAAAAAAAGCACATGATCAACTCAACTGGTGCAGAAAAAGCATTTGACAAAATTCAACAGCCTTCATTTTTAAAATATTCAACAAACTAGAAATTAAAGAAACACACATCCACATAATAAATATATATCCATATGTGAAAAACCCGCAGCTTACAGAATACTCCATGGCAAAAGGCTGAATACTTTTCTTCTAAGATGTGAAACAAGGCAAAGATGCCCATTTGACACTTCTATTTAACATGGTGCTAAAAGCCCCAGCCAGAGCAATAAGGCAAAAAAAAAAAAAAAGAAATAAAAGGTCTCAAAAAAAAAGAAAGAAAAGGTCTCCAAATAAGAAAGGAAGTAAAATTACTTCTGTGTAGAAGGACATGATTTTATATCTAGTAAATCCTAAGTATTACACACACACACACACACACACACACACACACACACACACACACACACCCTATTAGAAAACTAATAAATGATCCAGCAAAGTTGCAGAATGCAAAATTCACACTCAAAAATAACTTGCATTTCTGTAAACTAACAATGAAATCTGAAAAGAAAACTCAGAAACAAGTCTATTTACAATAATATCAAAAATAATAAAATACTTAGAAATAAACATAACCAAAAAAGGAAAAAACTTGTTTGTATGCTAAAAACTACAAGATGGTGCTTAAGAATTTAAAGATACAAATAAATGAAAAGACATATCAAATTTTTAGATTGTAAGACAATAATATGTCAATACTACCCAAAATGATCTACAAAGTCAATGCAAACCCTATCAAAATTCCAAAGACATTCTTTGAGAAATAGAGAAATCCATTCTAACACTCATTCAGAATCTCAAAAAACACCAAGTACCCAAAACTATCTTGAGAAATAAGAACAAAAGCTGGAGGACTAACATTTCATGATTTCAAAACTTACTACAAGCCAGGAGCAGTGGCTCACGCCTATAATCCCAACACTCTGGGAGGCTGAGGCAGGAGCATTGCCTGAGCCCAAGAGGTCGAGGCTGCAGTGAGCCGTGATTGAGCCACGGCATTCCAGCCTGGGTGACAGAGTGAGACCTTGACTAAAAATAATAACAATAAAAATAAACAAAAAAAATTACTACAAAGCTATAGTAATCAAAACAATGTGGTACTCACATAAACACAGACATATGGGTCAATGGAACAGACTAGAGAGCCCAGAAATAAATCCTTCATTATATGGATTTTCAGCAAGGATACCAAGACCATTTGAGGGCATGATAGTTTTTTCAACAAATAGTGCTGAGAAAATTCGATGTCCGTGTGCTAAAGAATGAAGTTGGACTCCTTACACTACGTGCAAAAATTAACTCAAAGGTGGTTAAACACCTAAATTTAAGAAGTAAAACAATACAACTCTTAGAAGTAACATTGGGGAAATCGAAATGATATTGCATGTGGCAGTAAGTTCTTAGATATGACACCCAAAGTGAAAATAACAAAAGAAAAACAAATTGGACTTCTTCAAAATTAAAAATGTTTTGCACCATCAAGAGAGTGAAAAAGCAACCCATGGAGAGGGAGAAAATCATATATCTAATAAGAGATAGACATCTAGAGTATGTGAAGAACTTCAACTCAACAATGACCAAAAAAAACAATAAAAAATGAACAAAGGATTTGAATAGAGATATCTCCAAAGAAGATATAAAAATGACCCATAAGCCGGGCTCGGTGGCTCAGCCTGTAATCCCGCGCCTTTGGGAGGCTGAGGTGAGTGGATTGCCTGAGCCCGTGGGTTTGAGACCTGCCTGGGCAACTTGGAGAGACCTCATCTCTACAATAAATCAAAAAATCAGCCGGGCGTGGTAGTGCACGCCTGTAGTTCCAGTTACCTGGAAGGCTGAGGCAGAAGGATCGCTGGAGCCCAGCAGGTCAAGGCTGCGGTGGCCGGGAGCGGCCACTGCACTCCAGTCTGGGCGACAGAGTGAGACCCCAACTCAAAAAACATAATGACCCATAAGCATATTAAGACACTCAACATCGCTAGTCATGAAGGAAATACAAAGTCAAAGCCATAAGGAGACACCCTTTCATAACCATTAGAATGGCTACTATATAAACACAGGAAATAGAACATAACAAGCATTGAGGAGGATGTAGAGCACCTGGAAAGCTTATGCACTGTTTCTGGTAATAAAAATGGTGCAGCTGCTATGGAATATAGTATGAAGTTTCTCAACAAATTAAAAATAGACTTTCTATTCTGAATCATTATCCAGCAATTCCACTTCTGGATATATACCCAAAAGAATTGAAACCAGGGTCTTGAAGAGAGGTTTGTGCACCCATGTTCAAAGCAGCGTTATTCACTATAGCTAAAATGTGGAAGCAACACAAGTGTCCATCCAAGTGTTTATCTATAGATGAATAGATAAACAAAACATGATATATACATGTAGTGGAATACTATTTGACCTTAAAAAGGAAAAATTCTGACACATGCTACAACATGGATGTACCTTACATATATTATGCTAAGAGTAATAAACAATTCAGAGCAAGACAAATATTATGCACCTCCACTTCTGTGAGGTACCTAATGTAGTCAAATAGAGACAGAAAGTAGAATGGTGGCGCTCCAAAACTAAGAAGAGGGGAGAATGGGAAATTATTGTCAAAACAGTTTCAGTTGAAAACTTTTTTATTGAAAAAGTTCTGGAGGTGAATAGCTGTAATGGTTGCATAACCATGTGAATGTACTTACAGCCACAAAACTGTACATTTAAAATTAATACAAATTTTGCTATGTGTATTTTACCACAATAAAAATATTTTTAATAGTTAAAAACAGTACTCCATTGTGCTTGAGAATATTTTTTAAAATCTCTGAAGTTTTCCCTTGGATACTAGTAAGATCAAAAGTTAAAATCTTATTGCTAAAGACAAGTTTACTGGGCTTCACTCAATTTTATTCAATGAAACAAAAAATGTAGATGTCAAAACAACCACAATAACATACCAATAGGAGTATTATTACTCAGCCGTTAAATACTGAAATACTGCAAGGGTCTATTCTAAGTTCTCTTCTGTTTCTACTTCCTACACTGACTGAGGGGATTTCTTTCATATATAGAGCTTCAATTGTCATTTATATGCAGATGATTCACAAATTCATGTTTTCACTTATCACCCAGAGAGAAATTCTTTCATATCTCAAAGTCACCTCAAACCCAACATGTCCAAGACCAAATGTGTGGCTATCTCCCATCTACCAAAATTGAGATAAGCCATAAAGCCAGGAGTTTTATCTCCTTTATATCCCATATCCTATTATGAGCTCCCACGATACCATGTACTTCTTGGTATCATTTATCTCAGCACACTTATATTCATTTCTGTGAGTATTTGATTAATGTCTATCTCCCACAGAAGGGTGAGCATTCTAGGTAGAAAGAGACTTTATTTTTGCTCATAATCAGATTCCCAAAATACAACACAGTACAAGGGTGTTTAATAAGTATTTGTTGAATGAATAAAACTTTAAGCTATGTACTCATAATTATGAATGGCACAATGTAAAAAAATTTTAAAATGTAATTCCCAGCAGTTTGGCCTTTTCTTTGGAAGTTCAGCACACACTGTCCACAGACCCAGTGACCCCACCCTTCATATTCTTCATCAAGAGATAAAAGCTGATGTCAATTTTAAAAATTCCCCTCCTTCCTATCTATATGAAGATGAGAGTTGTTCTCCAAGCAGAGTTAGTGGATTGCAGTTGAACACTCATCTTTAGATTATCTTGGCTTGTTCTTAGTACTGGGTCTTTGGTTCAGTTCCTCTTCTACATTTAACTGAATTCTTGAGCATTACTAACTTGTCCACTGCAATGATTCCTGTATCTGTTACTTCCCATTAATACAAATCCAAACACACTGTTCAATTTCTTGATTGGAAAATATTAAATACTCTATGCTCACAAATCAGAGTGGAGGTGGGGTTGTAAGAATGGGGGTGGAGTTGAAGGAATGAGGGAGTTCATCTCAGGGCTCAAACGGCAAGTCCCGCTTTGCTACTAGTTTCAAATGAGTTTAACACCTGAATCTGTTTCCACGTTTCCAAAAGTAGGCACAATATTAAAAATACCTTTAGCAAACCAGGCGAAGTGGAGATCAAAGTCAGGCCCAAACTTTACTGTGTACCTAATCCTTAATTATATCCCATATCTTTAAAATAAATTTCTTAAAAATACCTTTAGTACAAATTTGTTGTGAGGATTATATGAAAAAAGTCACCCAAATTACTTTTAAACAGGAAAAGGAAACAAATGTAAATTACTACAGTGCAACTAGGATCATAGTAAATCCTAAAATAGCAATGGAGTGTGGAGGAGATCGTTTCTGGCAAAGAGAATTTGTGAGTGATTACTTTTTACACTATCTTGTTTCTGAAACTTTGTGAAATGAAAAATGGTGTGGTTGCAGCCAAAACACACACACACACACACACACACACACACACACACACACACACACACACACTTTTTAAATACTCTAACCTATCCATTTGGAGTCTGTACATTTACCATGTTTCAGCTTCCCAGAAATACCAAACTCCCTCATTGTCTTTTACTCTCCTCTATAAGGACCTGACTCTATTCATGTGAGCCGTTGCTAACTGCCACCTAGTTAGGGGGATTTCACGTCATCAGATTGTGGCGCAGCACCGCTGCGTGCGTGCGTGCCCCTTTGTGCGGTACTACGCCCTCTCCGGTATATACAGCAGGAACGCCAGAGAGCGTCTCAGTTGCACCAGGCAGCGGAGGACGCCTAGCCTCCTGGCCCGAAGGTTCCCGAATAGGGGCTAGGAGCCCCGGCTTCCCATCACCAGCTGAGCGCTCTATTCCTGAGAAGAGAGAAGAGACTCTTAGAGGAGCCATGAACATCTTTTTACTTCTATTGAGCGGCGTTTTGTTCGCCCTCACGTTTGTCTTCTGGAAAAATCGTTTTCAGGTAATGGTGTATGGTAAGAGATTGTAACTAGATGAAGCTAGATGAGTATATGAATTGGGGAGTATGCTTGTAAAAGAGTAGAAAAACAGTAAAATAAGAGTTAAGGTGAGATCACCTCATTCCTCTTTCTCGAAAGAGCCCCAGACTTTTACTCCTTACTACCACATTCCTGCATTTTGATCAGTGATTAAACAGTTTGTGATCTGTTGTAAAGAACTCCGTCACTAAGTGATATAGTCAGCTTTTCATTCATGTGGAGAGAAAAGTGCAGCTGAAAATGTCCATTCTCCACCACCTTCCACTTAAGAACATTACGGGCCGGCCTCGGTGGCTCAGCACTTTGGAAGCCCGCGGGTTCAAGGCCACCTGGGCAACTTGGCAAGATCTCGCCCCTACAATAAATCAAAAATTAGCCGGGCGCAGTAGCATGCACCTGTAGTTCCGGCTACTTGGAAGGCTGAGGCAGAAGGATCGCCTGAACCCAGCAGGTTGAGGCTGTGGTGGCAGTGAGCTTGCCACTGCACTCCAGCCTCGATGATGGAGTGAGACTCCAACTCAAAAACAAAACAAAAAAAGGATCATTGCCTTCTCTTTTTCCTCTCACTTTTACCCAATCCCCTGGGTGTTTTTGTTTCTCCTGCCATCTTTATGGGAATCTTCTGGGCATTAACAAATGATTCAGAACCGGCTCAGTGGCTCAGCCTGTAATCCCGCGCCTTGGGAGGCTGAGGTGAGTGGATTGCCTGAGCCTGAGGGTTCGAGACCCGCCTGGGCAAGTTGGCGAGACCTCATCTCTACAATAAATCAAAAAAAATGAGCCGGGCGTGGTAGCGCGCGCCTATAGTTCCAGCTCCTTGGAAGACTGAGGCGGAAGGATCGCCGGAGCCCAGCAGGCCGAGGCTGCGGTGGCCGGGAGCGGCCACTGCACGCCAGTCTGGGCGACAGAGTGAGACTCCGACTCAAAAACAAACAAACAAACAAACAAACAAATGATTCAGGTCTAATTGTAGATTTCCTTGTGTTAAAGTTTCAAGTTATGTGCTTTTAGATAAGGGTCAGCGGGTCAAAGACAGGGTTCATATGTAGACCTACTGGACTGCCCAAGAAATGTAAGGAAAGAATGTGACACTTAGGGGATACTCTGATTTTTTTTTTTCTGTGCGTTTGTGAAGAATGTATTTTTGAATCAATGTAGTCAAACATTTCTAATCTGCAGTTCTTGGGGGAAAATCAGTTAATTTTGGTAACAAAGACTGATCAAAGTGTATTTGCAAATTGCTAAAATTCAATAAACTACATATGTATAATTTCCTTCCTCTACAGAGAAACAGCGGTGAAATATCATCAAGTTCAACTTCTCTTGCCCTAGTAAGAACCTCTTCTGGATCAACTAAGAACAATGCTGATAAAACTCTCTCAGTCAACAACCTCTCTCGGGATATCTTAAGAAATAATATCCCACACTCAATAGCTATGCAGAAGCGCATACTGGTAAACCTCAGAATCGTGGAATACAAGCTGACTGAACTGGAACATTTCCTAGTTACCAAGGGTATAAGAGGTGCATTAGTTAACCGAAAATCCACTGAAAATCTTACCAGCCGTAAGGACAGTGGAAGCAACCATTAAAGACACTTTGAATTCATTTGATTATATGTTTCTATCAAATTATTGTTTAGAAGGGGAGGGGATGGCAAATCAGATACAAAAATCCAGATGTGTATCAATTTGCTTACTCACAGTTTATTTAAATAATTGATTACATGTTGCTAATATATATTTTACTGACAAAGGAAGCACAATAAAGAAAGGAAGAGATAGTTCAAAAGTTTGGTGTTTTAAAATAAGCTCTAGAAAACAAAAATATAGTTAAGATATTGTGATTTTAATTTCACTCAAGGGTGAAAAACAATTTTCTCTAACAGTTTACAATATTGCAGTTGTCTCCAAGTTTGCATTAAAGTAGAATTTGATGGAACTCTTTTCCGTTCTGCAGAATAGTTTCTTGCCCTTGTTGAATCGGTGTAATAATGAGTTGTCATTGAGCACCCTACAATAAGCCAAGCACTCAGTTAAGATCTGTGCTTTACACATTTGTGTGGATGGTGACACACACTCTTAACTACTCTTCATGGTCAGCTTTTAAAAAAGAATATCTTTCCCTTCACACCTCACCCCTCTCCAATTAGGTATTCCTTCATTTAATATGCCTAAATCGTCCCTGAATTGCAAGAGTTACCTATAGAAAATTGCATGCATTTTTCTGTTTGGTGAAAAATTCACACCTCAAATAGCACCAAAATATAGCGGTAGAATACATGTGACATTATGTGGATTAAAATGAAGTATTTCTAAGCTCTAGTCAAATAATAGTTTATAAAATCTACTATAATTAAGGAATTAACAATCTCCTAACGTTCACTAATAGCATTTGACCTACCCTCAAAGAAAACCTTCAGATTATCAAACACAAGTTCTATAAATACATTACTCACTGAGGTGGTTTAATTACAGGCCTACCTATTTACCTACCTTCATTCCCTCTCCCCCCAAAATAAATTACCAGTATAAATTAAAGAAATGCCTTAATTCTGTACTCCTCTCATCTACAATCAAAAGGAGGAGAAAAAGGAATTTTAAATGTGTAAGAGAAATTATTCCTTCTATTGTTACTCAGTTGCCAAGCACAAAAAGCCAGCAATAGTGGGTCACAGGTTTCTTTGATATTCTTTTGAAAACTATAGACTCTCTTCTAGAAAAATTCATGTACACATACACAAAAAAGTTCCATGTAATTTTGGTTTTATATATTCCCTTAAACCTAGGTTGAGAACCTTAAGAAATGCTGATAAATTCTTTATATATGTAAGCAGTGTTTATGATTATAGGCTGTGATGCTTAAACCGATTATCAATGATGTAATGAGTATATAAGCTTATTAATGACATATTTCATTATTTTTTTAAGAAAACTGGGGCATAGGACTTTCTAATTTGGCTTCCCTCATTCTTGATAAGTTTGACAAGCTTATCTCCTAATAGTATAAAAATAAGTTTTAAAGTACTAACTTATTAACCTCAGACAAAATCACTGTACTTGATCTATTAGCCATATATCACAATCATACAATGCTAGATTTGATTGAAACCACTTTCTCATTAACAATTTGGTCCATATTCTATTTGAAATTAAACATAGATTACAGAGAGTAGAATGAACAAATCTTAATTTTGTGAAACACAATAGAAATTAAGAGGGTCATGGTTTTCTTCCAAATAACCTAAGGAAGAAAAATATTGTATGGGAAAAGAAGTACTCAAAACTCCATTTTCTAGATTTATCACTTACTGGCCATAGGATCCTTATTTTTCTGTTGTATTTCACTTGTTTTAAAGAACATTAACTACTAAGTCCATGTAGAAAACATAAGCGGTAACAAATGCATGATGTCTTTAGACTTATTAGGTGCAATAGTATTAAACTGCAGTCCTCACATACATAGTCCATTTTTCCATACATTTATGGCATTTCTAATTAAGTGAGGCCTTCAGTTTGTAATACTAATTTATTTTTCACCAGTTTTGTGGAAAAGAAAGATTATGTATTAAGAAAATAGAAGCTAATGATATTTTTAAACTGTGTAATAGAAAATATTGCTATTTTAAGTAATCAGTTCCAAGAAAGCCTCCAATGTATTAGAAAAACATTATGGTAATATTTACAAAAACGTTATCATAAAATAGAGACAGTTATGTGTGTGTTACACAGATAGATAATCTAAAAAGAAGTATAATAATCACATTGTTAAACATTAATAAATTCACATTTTATATTACATTCCTGCTTAAATGGGAAAAAACTTACATTATTGTGAACATAGTATGTACATTTTTCTATGTGACCAAACAAATAAATAAAATGTTCCCCTATTTTAAAAAAAATCACATTATGCAACCATATATTTTTAAAAATGAGATCTCATTCTGGTTTTCCACTGCCACTAACAGTAGGTATTTCGTAGTCAGTCTCCTTTTCAGGATCTACCATGCCTTTATATCGCTCCCCACGATGTTGTTTCAGGTATGGGCCCCAGTTAGAAGCTGGTCTACAGCAGCTTACAATGCGCTGAAAAGCAAAAACAGAAAAATATTTGTCTTCGAATTTAAGTGCTGCAATCTGTAAACAAACAAATGTTAAACATAATTTCATTTTTAAATTTGAGGTTTCTTTGCTCACAAAAAATAAGAATCATAGAAAAGTAAAAAGTGATAGTCTAAATTTTTATTAATGCACAGTCTACCAAGAAAAGATTATAATCAAATTTAACTGATTGTTAATAGAATTATATTACTAAACCAAAATAACCAGTGGGTAAATGAGTTCAAAAAGTATATGAGCCCATTAGAGAAACAGCATCACTACTCTGTGCCTTCACTGAATTTTCAGGCATTTCCATCCCAGCATCAGGATAAGGGTGAGGTGAAGAACTAAACCAGTGTGTGAAACTGGGATGTATTTCAAGAACCAAGGAAAGGAAGCTCCATAATCAAACCATTGATTTGGATCCATTTTTGGATGGGTTTTGCAATTTATTTAAATCTAGGACTCCTGAACCTGCCTTGTCATTGTCCTAGTTAGATGTCATACCTCCATTCCCCTAGCCTCCATGAACAAGAGGGATGTCTTGTGGTCTAGACTGGGTTCAAGATAATTTACCAAGCTTATTCCAATCTTAACACACTATTAGGATGTGTCTTATAACCAGATGAGGTTTTGAAAGTAGTGATTATGGAGATAAAGCAAAAGGGTCATTTGCTTTGTGACATCTTCAGGGACAACTCAGTGTAAATATAGACATCATAGCTGTTATGTGCTAAACACTATAATAAGGCTTGAGGATACAGCAACAAGACCAGATTTCTGCCACATGGATCTTATAGTACAGTACAGGGCAGCAGCAAGTACGTAGAGAATGTAATACAATGTCATATACTAGTAACAAATTAAGGTATCAGGTATAGAAATAGTAAAAAACAACTGATTAATTTTATCTCATATCATTGCCATATGAGTAAATAAATCTTCATTTTGATCATAAGTACTTTATATAAGTGTAGAAAATTTCAATTTATGTACTCACTTGAATGATGTTTCCTTTAGCCTGAATTACTTTTATAAAAGCCATAATTGGAATCCAAATAATGCAGAAAATAATCATACACCAGCCTAGAGCAACTCCCCAGTCAGGGTATGGAATTTTGGCATATTGAGGTCTACTAAATTGCACCAGTGACCAGATAAAAATTGCCTGTGAAAGTAAAATATAAAAAGACAAAGGCAAAGATTAAACTTTATTGCTCTATTGATTAACAATTTGATTCTGTTTCTTATTTATTTATCAAACATAAATAAAATGAAAATACATTTAAGTGACTAAGATAATCAGGTAACAAGTCAGAATATAACAATATAAAATGAACCAAACTAAATAACTTCTATTTTTACTTTGAATGCATTTTTTTTTTTTGAGTTGGAGTCTCACTCCGTCACCCAGACTGGAGTGCAGTGGCTGCTCCTGGCCACTGCAGCCTCAACCTGCTGGGCTCCAGTGATCCTTTTGCCTAGCCTTCCCAGTAGCTGGAACTACAGGCATGCGCTACCACGCCCGGTTGATTTTTTTATTTATTGTAGAGATGAGGTCTCGCTGCCCAGGCCGGTCTCGAACCAGCAGGCTCAGGCAATTCACTCACCTTAGCCTCCCAAAGGCGCGGGATTACAGGCTGAGCCACCGAGCCCGGCTTGAATGCATATTTTTAAATGAATACCTTCATATATGTGTGATACAAATACAGGTTCAACATATATGTCAATAAAATGCTTAATCATGATATATCAGCTTAAAAGTAAAATTATATCTGAAAATTTTTGTCATTGAGCTTTTAACTTTCATTTATAATAGCATGGTTTTATTTTGTCATAAACTAGTCAGCATATCAATTAATTCAGTGACAATGTGAAGTACACTTTAGTGGACATGTTTTCTCCTTGCTTAGCAATTGTTTCTATTTTCCACTGCACAGAGCACCCTTTTGCACCTCAATAACACACATGCATTTACACATATTCACACATTGCCCGTGCAAATCTACCAAAGCACAATTCACTTCTAGCCTCTTACTGAGGGGAAAAAAGAAATCAGTCTCAATATATGTATGTTTAACACAGTGAAATATGAATTTTTTTACTTACACTAGTAAGATACTAAAAATCTGAATCTTAAAGGTGAAAACACTTTAAAGCCAGATTAGAAAAAAGTTTTTAAAAAACACTAGAAGCCGGGCTCAGTGGCTCAGCCTGTAATCCTGCGCCTTTGGGAGGCTGAGGTGAGTGGATTACCTGAACCCACAGGTTCAAGACCCACCTGGGCAGTGAGACCTCATCTCCACAATAAATCAAAAAGTCAGCCGGGCGTGGTAGCGCGTGCCTGTAATTCTGGTTACTCGGAAGGCTGAGGCAGAAGGATCGCCGGAACCCAGCAGGTGAGGCTGCGGTGGCCGGGAGCGGCCACTGCACTCCAGTCTGGGCGACAGAGTGAGACTCCAACTCAAAAACGAAACAAAACAAAACAA